GGAGCTAAAAAATTCACTTTGGCTTATTTAAAAAAAGAACCATCACAAACACAGTACCACAGTAAGCATAATAAATGCATGGAGCTCTTTTTGCCTCCACACCGATAATTCCTAACATCCTGCTACCAATACCACCAAGTTGAATTCTGCATAGAAATGGAGATCTTATTATTTCTATTATTGTCTTTTCAAACGAAATTTGGAACTTACCAACAATATCACCTCAATCTCATTGTGCGTGTAGTTATTGTACCGCTTCGTGTCCATTTTGATATCACTAGGATATTATTTACTGTAAAAAAATCTGCGATGGAAACGTACAAACCAACGTGTTCTCAAAGTGTAAACAAGATACTTTCTTTTGTTGCTCAAAGTAGGGTTCGAGGGATTATAAATGTCAAAACTGTCACACTGCCGGGGACGTAAATAAACTATTAAGCCGGCCGAATGGACTATTTGTACGCAACGGAACTAATACCGGGGATAGTTATACCCAGACGAACAAGTGATTGTAGAACTGACGCAGAGATATACTCCGGATATCTGCGGGTATAAGTTATACCACGAACTATTATACCTTTCTTTTTACTTGCATTGTTGAATCCGGCCTTAAGGTACCACATGAATTGCTAAAATCTCCTCGATATATCTAACATCCGTCAAACCTCTTCTTTCATGAACACGGTCGCCCTTACGAATAATATCAGGATCAATTCGTGTTCTTATAGAAATCGCACCCCAGATCATACAGAAACCTCCTCCATAAGCACTCCGCTCTTCTAAACAGCAATCTGCAAATCGCTCTTTTGGTGTTCGGCACACTTTCCTCCTTCGGTCGGTACCATGGAGGCATGTTCTGGTCTCATTTGAGAACAGAACAGATCCCCATTGTTCCAACGTCCAATTGAGATGATTCCGTGCAAAACGCAGGCGTACTTGCCGACGAGCTGGAGTAAGTTTTGGAACAATCGCAGGTATTTTAGGGGTCAGGTTCTTTTCGTGCAGTCTTCGTCTTACTGTCCACTGACTAATAGCCACTCCTCGCAGATCACGGAGCTGTCGTTGCATTTGAAGGGCATTAAATGTTACGATTTCTTAATGTTTTTGACACAATAAAGCTGTCTGCACGAGCGGTTGTAAATCGCCTTCTACCTGTTCCAGATCGCCTCTGACAGGATCCGGTCTCCTCATACACATCAACTGACCACCTATTTTGATTTTTCATGACCCTGTATATCCGCGGATTCGTATGAGAATAATAGTGAAAGTTGTGTCTGTTCACGAAACCATTGTTATAAAAAGTACACTCATCACTAAATAACACATTGTCGAAAAACTTTTCATTTTCTGTCACTTTATCTAACACCCACATCCAAAACTCAGTTGGGTTTTTAAAATAATTTCCATAAAGTTCCATAAGCTGAATTTGGTTCAATGATGGTGGTGGGGTAAAGATAAAAGTTGTGCTTTTTAATAATTCTGGAAATACTTGATTGAACTAATGTTAGTACTTTTGGATATTAGATTTTGACTAATCTTGAGATTTTCGATAACTCAACCAATGAATAGTACCGTGAAAACATTTTCTTCATCTTCAGTGACCTAAACGACACCCAATGGTGCACAGAACAATTATTGGCATATTTTATAAAAAGGTTTTAATTCAAATTAGGATCCTAATACCATTTGATAGGTAATTAAAAATTGTATTTCCTGGTAAGTTAAAAAATATGGGGTTGTATTCAAATTAATCAAGTTATATCCACTTAAAATTCTTTGATAATTTTAAATTTGTTAACACCCTGTATAACATGACATGATAAAAGTTTATTTTCATTGGAATATAAAATATGATTTTTCTTCAATAGGAGGTTTTTTTTTGACACTTGGCAACGATAATAACAATCCTAAAACTAACATACAGGGTGATTCAAAATTGGCGTCATTCCTCTGGAGGTGTTGTCTGTCGCTGCTATAGGACTGCAGAAAAATAGTAAAACAAATTAATTGTTATTAAAAACTGAGAAATTTGCAAAGAACTATATCAGAAATACGGCAGCAATGTTTTTCAAGGTAATCTGCATAATTGACATTGCGCAAATACCTGTTGCTTCGTAATTATTTAAAACTCCGGTAACCATGGAATTATACAGACTGACAATAAGATAGACAAGGATAAACGGTAAATTCAACAAGATTTGTTGACAAAATGTCAACCTGTTGTCATAACCTCGAATATGGGTGTTTATAAATAAACTCTACAACACCAAACATTTGAATGGTTAATTCCAAGCAAGCTAGTGCCTGTGTAATCTCCTTATTATCCACTCTTATCAAGCAGCTTCTCGTATTCAGTTAATTAACTCCTGCTCCATTTGTATCTCCTTCTGCTGTGTGTATCGTACATATGTGGTATTAATGTAGCCCTCTGTATTTGGTGCTTGGGAAAGTGTCAGTTATTGTGCTCTGAGTGCCCCTTTTTTTTTTTTGGGTGAGGGGAAAATCTTCCAAAGATACTCAGCCGATGTTGTGCTGGATTTTGTGCCGACGATGTTCATTGTCGGCTAGGTTATGTGGGATTCAGTCCCGCGGGGCTGCCTACCCACTAAAAACCCCTCACCTTTCATCCTTAAGGAAGAGGGCATCCCCGGAACTACCAGAGGGTCTGGTATTACATCGGGGGGAAAAAACTTATCACACACGAGTAAAACAAAAAACAAAACATTACGAATTACCACCTCTCCTTTTTTCTTCTAATTCTTTGATCTTCATTATTTTCCTGAGCATCTCAGCCACACTTTTAAAATTACTTTCGGAGGATATAATAAAATCTCCAATATTTTCCTTTGTCATTTCAGTTCC